CCCCCCCCCCCCCCAAATGACTCCGATATTTGATTAGAATTAGGCCTGTGCCTTGATTACTGTTTCACGTACACCCTTGCTTCGACTGTTATCGTCTAGAATGCTTCTCTCACCAATAGTGCAAGTTTGACACACTTGGACCATGCAGCACCCACCAACTTCGGCCTGTTCCACGCGAAGCTCTCCACACCAGATATTTTGGGGTACAACGTGTAATGTCGTAGAGTCCACCTGTTGTTTCCTTCGTGGTATGATGTAGTTTCCTGCAGCTTGGGGTAAAGCTTGTGGACTCGTGGATGTCCCTAGACGTCAATGAGTTACACGTGTACCACCTACGAACGAACGCAGAGCTTTAGATTCAAAACGTCACGTTGACGCAGGCGTCTGTTCGGGGTTGGCGGTACCCTCTAAGGATCACGACTGGCCGGAAGTGTTGTGGCTCCTGCGGACGACGAGGAAACAAAGTAGTGGCCGTTGTCGTGGTTAACCCGCCACTGGGTATGGCTACGCTGGCTTCTTTCTTTCTACATCGGATAAGCCTCAGCTTAACTACACAGATTCTGCCATTTTCTGCCCCACCGCTTCCACCGGCGATTCATTCTGAATGTTCATACTCGCGACCTCTCTGACCGATGGCACTACAGATTCTACCGAAAATCGCCGCACAGTCGCTTTGACCGCCGTTGCATACAATAATACTCAAGCTAAAGGACCGCCGTCGCCAACTCTAATCCCTCGGGTACGCTATTTAGCCTTTTCTTGTCTTTTAGGAGAGAGTCGAGGAACATGGGGCCATATCAAACACACGAGATCGAGCACTCATCCCTTCCTACTGGTTTCTCCTGTGGAACAACAATACCCGGAACAGTTTCGTTATTCTGTGCTAAATATGCACGTCTCTTTGTATTCTAAATGTGCCGCCTGCCAGATCTACTCCGACTCTGCGGGAATAATTACCATTTCAAACTCCATCTTCAAATCAAACCTCGCGAGCGAGAGGGGCGGTGCAGTGTACGCCATCGGCTCCGAAACCCTCACTATCACGGACTCCCTTTTCAGGGGCAACGAAGTTGGGACGGGCGTTGACGCGGACGGCGCAGGAGGCGATGTTTACGCAGGCACCAATGTTGAGCTCACGGTCACTGGCACTACGTTCTCGACGTCCGCGGCCGAGTACGGCGGAGCTGCCATCGAGTGCTGCGGTGCGGTGATCTCCGATACTGTCTTCACGGGAGCGGACACTGCCAGCGACGGCGTGAGTCGACGGATGGGGTTCAAGCGAGAAAGGATCAAAAGAGACTGCTGTCCTAATCATCTTCTGAACTAGTACATCTAATCTGCCTCTGTTTTGGGCCGAGAGCGAAACTCCTTTGCCGCTGGCATATCTCAACGGAAACGCTCCTGTTTCCAGCACTTGACAATGACATGCCTGCTGCACAACCAAGCCAGGACTCACGTATTGTCTCCAAGCGGGCATGTTGGCTGATCTGTTCTTCGCATGCCCTGCATGCCTTCCACCGCCGTCCAAATAGTTGTACAGAAGCATGGTCCGTTCACGATAACTTCGGGTTCGTACTGCTGTATTTGTTGACACCGAGCACTATTGATTCGCTTCCGTTGTACCCATCTCCCCGACGAACCCAACCTTGATCTTGGGTCAGGCGCACTACGGCGGGGCGCTGCTGGTCAACCGCCCTGACCAAGACGCATGCCCGAGGGAGCTTGACCTCTCAAATTCGACGTTCAGCGGGTGCACCGTAGCAAGCACTACTGGAGCGGGCGGTTCCGTGGCCATCTTCGACACTTCGGCAACAATTACCGACTGCACTTTCGAGAGCAGCGTTGGCACGGCGGTTCTTTTCTCGTCTTCCAGCGATTCCGGAGAACACCAGCTTCTCGTGAGTGACGCGTGTTCTTGTCTACTAGTAGTGCATTTTTGTCGACGATTCCACTCAGGATATCCACATGTTCCGCATCTTGACCAATCACTGCTGTCCGCTGCTTCCCGAACGCCTCCTTTCGTCTGCGTTTCAGATGGACTACGTCCAGTTCAACCTCAACACCTTCCCCGCTGAGGCGTACGCCACCGACACTGAGCAGGGAGCCGCGATTGTCGTGACGAACACGGGCGTGGCGGATGTGAGTTTGTTTCGCTTGGCCTCGATGGCTTCGTACTTGGTTTACTTTTGGTTAGTTGCAAGCGTCGTTGAGCTTGAGGCAAAATCCTCGGGTTATGGTGCGGACAATTCGATGTGAGCCTTTTGTTCTCCTGATGGAGATGTGCAGGGAATGGTCGGGACTTCCTTCGACGAGGGCGAAAAAATCGGCGGTCGATGGGGGGCCATGAGCGACCAACACTACTCCCCATATCGATCAAACATCGAAAGTTCTGCCTCGTGTTCAATATCATCCTATTTCATTTGTCATTCCATTCGTGCCAGGGAGAGACGACGGTGACAATGGGCGACTTCAACGACATGTACTGCTTCGCCAATGAGCCTTACGAGTGCGAGTTTGTGTACGATCAGTCGACGGTCGTCCACAACGGGGAGTTCAAGTGCCAAATCTGCGACATCGAAGGGGAGCGACAACAGAGTGGCACCGACGACGACTTGATCGAGTGAGTTCAGTGATCTGCATCGGCAGCGGCCTGTTGAAGAATACAAGAAAACCAGCCCTACGTCCCTCCTTCCTCTAGATGCTTTGTTCTCGAAGAATAATGTGCGGCGTCCTTCGTTTCTCTTGATCCTAATCCTATCCGTTGGCACACACCCACGTTGTTCACCTGGACGGAAAGCTAACTCGTACTCAATTTCGACTTTTTCGCGCACTTTTCCTTTCAACCGAGAGAACAGCAGCATCGACCAGAGTTCGAGCTCCAACTCGTGGAACTCCAAGGACTACATTATCGTTGGTCTGTCGGCAGCTTTGGCATTGTGCATCATCCTCGCAATCGGCTTTTTGGTGGCACGGGCGTACAGCAAACACAGGGCGCCCAGTGAAACACAGCCCCCTCCCACAACAGGCACTCCCGCCCCATCTGCCCCACCCGCACCGGCAGCCCCACCAGCCACAACAGGCACTGCTGAGCCTGTCGAATCGTAAGCCGTGGATGTGTCGAGCTTCCAGCACCATTAGAAGTTTGTGGAGTCTCCAGAAGCGGAAAAAAAAAAAGAAGGGCGAGTAGATTGCTACGTCATGATAGCGGGAAGGCGATATGCCATTCTTCGAAATGTGATGCGTGTACAGCGTGTGACGACGCAGAACCGCCGCAGAAGGCCGAACGTTGGAGTCCTCATGCGCGTATTGCTCTAACTTGTATGGCTTGCAATATGCCCGCCAAGGTATTGAGCAACGATTGCACCAGAGCTTGTGGTGGAAAATTCACGAAGTTTTCCACCCGTGACCAGAATGGTCATACTGTAGAGGAGTCTATTTCGAGATAATGACGTACCCCGAGTCTTGTATGGCTTGCACTGGGTAACGTTTTGAGTACTGATTGCAACAGAGTTTGTTGTATAATTTTTAACATGTTTTCCACCCCCTACCGGCATGGTCATACACGAACCTATTCTGAGAGACTCAAGTACCCCTAGAGCAATACGCATGCCGCTAGAAGTTGTGTTTCTGTGACTTTCCAGTTCGAGGCCAGCTCATTTTTAAACGTGGTCAAGTGTTTTCAACGAGGACACGGGCACGCAAACCAGTTTCTCACCGTTTTTGAGGAGAAGGCGGCTAAAAAAATATTTCTGGGCGGCGCCCAACGTTTGCTTTCATTGTGGGAATCCACATGCGATAGAATTTGCCCGGCCGGATTGGATCCGCACTATGTGTGCGTATTTGTTGCTCCCGTATTTGTCTCGTAGTTCGTATCGTGTCGGAGTGTGTTGTGTTGTTGCGGGACATATCAGTACCGTTTGGGGGGATGATTAGCATTGTTGTGACTTGTTTTATGTTCAGAAATTGATGTTGTTCACCGATGATTCGTTCCTTGGCAACGGATTTAGATTCCGCCGGCCCGCCCGGTTGTCGCCAACTATGTTTCGCTTTTCAACGCTCACACTAACGCCAAAGTGAGCTAGGGTCAGGGTATGAAGCGTTCCGTCGATTGCCTACAGGAGTTTGATACGTGAGAAACCTATTGCAGTGGTCATGCAATCGAGGAACCCCAACCCTGAATTAAATAGAGTGGCCAAAATGGCACTTGCAACGATAATCACCAGGATGTTAGCCGCCCACACTTTGTCTCCCTGTTGGGCTAACGGTGTGGTGGCGAGCGTTTGCAGGAAGGGCTGTAGGGACCATCGAACATGTATGATTTTGGGTTCACGCGCGAGAGAGTGGGGTAGCTTTTAGACCGCTGGGGTTGCCATCACCCAACTTGATTTCTGGGCTGCTGATGTAGACTAGTGTATGATATAACAATCCTTGGGGGTGCTGCTGAAGACCGTCGAGGAGGCGGACGCCTCGCTGCCCCCTGGCTCGTCTTCGGTGGTGCCTTCTTTCTCATTGTGGAGTCTTGGAGATCAGCGTCCGAGTGGAGCATTGCGCTCTGCTCCCCCTTTTATCTATATTGCGAGCTTTCCCCTCCCTTCGCTGCCACTTTTACTCTGGACTTGTGTGAGAACCATATATCCTTTCATTTCTCATGAGGGTTGCGACTTTGCTGCGTCTGTTTTATTTATTGTATTTATTGTGCTCTTCCTTTGGTTCAGCTTTGCGAGCACAGAAGTTCCTTAATTTTCCTCTGAAGACTATGAGGAAACAATTTTCGAATAGGAGGGCAAAACCATGTGTAATGTGCGACATCAACAATTCATGCCGCACTTAGAGGTTGCTTATTCTGTGTTTCGGGAGATGCTCATGTGATTGTCATAGTATTTATTTAACCGCAGCAGAAACCCCAATTTGCACTTTTTTTTCTTCACTTCAAATCAGCGCTCACCGCACGTGTGCCATTCCCCTCCCTGAGCTCCTACCCATCCCTCCTGCGGTACCTTTGCCTTCGATTAGTAATGCGAGATAGTTTTCCTCTGTGACCACACGAACTGTAGCGCTTTCCACCCAGGTCAGGAACGGAAGCATTTGGAAAATGAAAATGCACATGTTACTGATTCTGGAAAGTCAAGGTCCCCTGCGCGAAATTTCAGTGTGAGCCAACCCCTTACGTGCACATGAGCAGTGAGATATTCCATCCTTCATTGTTCTTAGAAAAGCATCTCGGAAGTGATTTGAGAAGGGGGAAACCCGATAATTGAAAATGAACGTCCCTGAGAACACAACTCTCGGGACAGTGAGTAACCGTAGCACCCGTGTTGACTGTGTCTTCTCTTTCAAGGTTTGCTTGGGGTAATGTTTGACGACCAAGCAACAGGTCGAGATGGTTGTGCCGCATTCTGACGATTGCTCTTGCCCCAGCGCAGAACCAGACACGACAATCGGTTAAAGATATTGTGGTCACAACACTCACATCATCGAAATTTCGTAAGACTCGATCAGTTTGATAACACGAGGTTTAGAGAGACGTACTTGAGTGGTAGAGCCTTCGTTCGTCAAGAACGACGGGTGGGATGGCTCATGGCCATGAACCCGCGCCCTCTTGAAGCAGGCAAGTTGCTGTAAAATGCAACGTGCACCCCTCGCGTGAACCAGCGTGAAACCTATTATGACGCAGTACCAACACATACATCGCGGCCTTGGCCGACTTCCTTTCAAATCGATAGCCGGTACACCCCTCTACCTATTTTACTCACTAATTGCACCTAAAGCTTGAACAAGACGCAAACCTTTCACTGCTGCGCGAGAATCTCACCGCTATGATGGACCCTCAAAGCCCAGCCTACGATAACTAGTCGCCAAGAAGACTCCTCTCGATCTCATCCAAACAATCCATGAGGTCCAAGTTCTCGGGCAGCGCTCGCACTAGAACCTTTCACTGCTGCGCGAGAATTTCACCGCTATGATGAACCCTCAAAGCCCAGCCTACGATAACTAGTCGCCAAGAAGGCTCCTCTCGATCTCATCCAAACAATCCATGAGGTCCAAGTTCTCGGGCAGCGCTCGCACTAGAGCTTGCCCACCGAGTTCCGCACCACACCTCTGCAGCAAAGCGCGAACCAGATCTTGACCTGGAGCATCAACACTCCCACCCTCGCGAACTTGCGAAGCTCTAGAGTTTCTCACGTGCTCGGTAACGCTCGCCCATCTGTCGGGGTCTTTGCCGCAATATTCGCCGGCGTAGAGCAGCAGAGCTCGCTCAGCAGCGCAGGATACCTCCTCAACGCTTGCAACTGCTACGCCGGCATCGAGCCCTGAGTCTTTGCGGATGACATCCCCCGCCCGTGCACTTCCCTTCCCGCTCGACCCGGAAGCTGCGGCTCCCGCTGCCGCTGCTGACTCAGCTTTCGCAGCGGCGACCACTTCCTCTCCTACTTGAAGCATGACGTCAAGCCCCGCCAGGAGCTTTCCCGCCGGCGGTAAGGCCGCCGCGAGAGCTAGGATAGCTCCTACGGCACTTGCGGGTACTGCTCGCGGACCCCAAGGCCACGGGGCGCGCCCTTTTCCCGTCCCTTCTCCCCCTGAACCCCACGGTTGGGTGTCATCATTAATGTGACCGTTGCCGTCGTAGTCCACCGAAGCACCTGTCGAAGCTGGAGAGAGCTCGGTGGCGGGAAGGCGGCGTTTGGCTTCCGTCACCACTTCCTCCGCTACCTCATGGTTCATGCTACACCTGTTGCCATCGCTCAGACTGTTGTTGGCGCTTCTACCTCGTCGAGTAATCTCACGAACGAGACGCAGGATTGCGTCAACGTGTTCTTCTGCGCCGCGCGCCTTGGACACCTGACCAGACAGCAGCGGCACTATCGCGTCGGCCCAAGTGCTATATTCGCGATCTCTGTGATTGTTGGTCCGGGTATCGCTTCCCGTTTTCACCGAGCCGCTGCTCCGTCCTGTATCTGCGGTTGGCTTGCCGTCTGGGGTCTTGGGGTTCCCCGCAGCTGAGTTCTCAAGCGAGCGCAAGTCGTCGAGATGAGCGCTTATCAGGTAACGGAGTACGGCGCGATCCAAGGCACGTGTGCGTGCTAACGATGCGCGCCAAGCTTCAGGAGCGCCCTGTATGAACCAGATGAGGGACATCAGCGGTATGGACGTTAAGGGTGGGGTGCATAGCTAGCTAGTCGACTGATACATGCGCAGATATGGTCACGATCCGATCAAGCTCCGGTGCGAAAAGAAGAAACTCGTGTGGAAATGGTTCACAAGAGACGCAGCGCATTACGGACAGTATGCCAAAGCGACGGTACGCCTTGCCGTTGTCCAAGCAAACGCAGCACCAAAAACCTTGCAGTTTTACTATCGCTACCAGCACAGTCACAGAAAACAATAAGCGACGCATACAGCAGTGGTTTCACTCGACTCACTAGAGCTTGCGATATCCTCTCCTGATGTCTAACAGAAAGGGCCGCTGTCGCCAAAGAAGCCGAACAGCGTCGGCTGAGAAAATCCCGCGCCGCAGCTGACAATGACTTTGTTTCGCTGGGGTTCGGTCGGCTGTCGACTGCCTCGCTGTTCTGCTCGTACGCATCGTCGTGGAAAAGACCTGGGCGAGCTCCGATCGTGGAACAGAAGGGTCCTGACAAGTCCAACGATGCCCGGCGGAAAGAGTCCAAGCGCTCTGCGATCTGAGTAAACGACAAAGGGGGGGGGGGG